TTTTAAATTTGTTTTCCTTAGTGCCCTGTAACATCTAGCAACCACGTATGCTTTATCAAGTTTATCTTTTGTTTTGTAATAATCATTTATTTTAAGGAAATGATTTCATTCTTGTGTCCTGGAAGGTCTGTCTGTGTGTGTCTGTATGCCTCTTACTGAGGGTTCTGCTACCAGAGACTGCAGCTTGTTTTTCCTCCTTTCTTTTCTCAAGCTCTTTTGGGGCAAAAGAGCTTGGGGTACCCCTGAGGGTGATTTCCAGTGTTCACCCTGGTCTTCAGGGACAAAAAAGCATTTGATGGTGGCAGCGATTCCCCCAAATCTGTGGATTAGGATTCTAGCGGGGAAGTTTTTTGTAACCAGTGCCTGTAGAGGCAAGGTTTTGAAGCTCTCTTGTGGGTCCTCACCTTCTGCAGTTGGTGTGCCAGAGAGGGGAACAACCCTGACCCCTCCTCATACAAAATTTTTGCCCACAGTGGAATAGCAATACTTTTTAACAATAGTCTCATGAAGCAGTGAAAGATTGCCACCTAGAGGGAAAAAGTATAGCTGCATCCCCTATTTAAGGCCACAAGTGTCAGTTATCTATTAATTTTTATGCCCATCTTGATACACCTAGGGTAGTGAACATTTTTATAGCCCTTTATAATTTCAAATCACAGCTCCTATTGCCTTCATCTGCAGCTCTGAGTGCTTCTGCAAATCAATCTGCAGAGCTTCAAGCTGAGCACCCAGAAAGTGAGGAACCATGAAAAGTGGCTAACTGAAAAAGTGTGGTTTCAGTGACTTGCCCATCACCACACAGGTACTATTTGGCAGAGGCACTGATCGAATCAAGTTCTCAGAAGGGGCATCCCAACTATCTCAATCATGAGCTCATCCTTTTTCTTCCTACCACCCCCTGCTACACTTAGGAAATTATAGAATTAAAGTTGCCTTAATTTAGCCCATGTATGTGGAGGCACTAATTACGTAATCATATCCTGGGTTTCCCTCCTTGCCTCATTCAGTGCACAAGATAGACCTAATTTAGGTTACATGATGGAAACTTCAGCGTAGTGGTGTTCCTAACTTCTGAGTGCTTGACTTTGCAAATCTTAATAACATTTTTTATAATAGTGTTTTACTAGTGTAATTTAAGATTTAAAAAAAAATCTGCAAATACAAAGTCTAGCTGGGAACACCACACTGACACCATAAGGGTCAGCAAAAAGTCAGCAATTTTTATATCCAGAAGACTGATCTCTACCTCTTAATTAAAAAAATAATTGATAGCAGTAGTAGGTTGTTATTCTCTATGCAGACCAGCCAGTATAGAGGAAAGACGACTTTGTGCGCTTTTAGAATTTACAACTACAGTAAAAGCTCTGCTATCCAACACGTTGCGAGTTTGTAGGGGGCTGGCTAATAGAATATTTTAGATAACTGAGTTATTATCAAATGAATAGCAGCCCTTAATATTTTTAAAGATTTATCAGGTCACCCTTCAGTCTTCTTTTTTCCAAGATTAAACATATGGTAGAGTCCTGATTATCCGACCTTCGTTTATCCGACATTCTGCTTTATCCGACGTAGCCATTCGACATGCTATTTATGCACGCATGTGTCATATACCGCCATGGCTGTAGCTTCGTTTGTTCCTCTGCGCTAGTGATTTATGTTTGTGCTGTGATTGTGTTTCATTTTTCCAATTGCGTGTTCCCCTTACTGTAATATAATTTTATTGTTTGAAGAACATGGCGAGTGAAAAGAGAAAAAAAGTGGTTCTTTCCATTGAACAAAAACTTGAAGCCTTAAAGAGACTAGACAAAGGCGAGTCCATGCTAAAAACTGCATCCGAACTCGGTGTGGGGCAAGTTACAGTTGGTGACTGGAAGAGGAAAAGAAAGGAGTTAGAAAAGTGGTGCTCTGATCGAGCCTCAAGTGAAGGACTGAAGGACAGAAAAACAATGAAGAAATGTGAATATGAAAAAGTGAGTGAAGCTTTGTTCTTATGGTTACACAGCAAAGGGATAAGGGCATGCCTGTCACAGGCCCGATTCTGCAAGAGAAAGCTCTGATTTTCCAAAAGGAATTTAATGAAGGGGAACCTGATTTCACAGCTAGTGTAGGCTGGCTTGATCACTGGAAAAAAAGATATGGGTTAAGGCAGCTCAGTATCTGTGGTGAAAAATTACTGGCAAATCAGGGTGGGTTTCTGAAATTTAAAGCTAAATTTCAGTGTCTCATCGACAATGAAGGATTATCAGGTAAGCAGATATGTAACTGTGAGGAGACCGGCTTAAACTATAAAATGCTGCCTTCACAAACTCTTAGCTTCCCGCGCTGAAGCCTCAGCTCCTGGGTATAAATGAAGTAAAGAAAGAGTGACGATTCTAGCCTATAGTAACACTACTGGTAACCACAAACTAAGACTCACATTTATTGGAAAGGCGAAAAAACCACAAGCTTTCAAAAACCTAGCCATGACTGCTCTACCAGTTTTGTACAAGAATCAGAGGAATGCATGGATGGATTCAGCAATTTTCTGAGGCTGGTTTTTCAATGAATTTGTTCCTTCATTAGAACAATTTTTGAAATTGCTAAACCTACCAGTGAAAGCAATCCTTATAATTGATAATGCACCATCTCATCCTCATGAGGATGAACTGATCAGTGGGGACATTAGAATAATTTTTCTTCCTCCTAATATCACCTCATTGTGTCAGACTATGGACCAAGGTGTGCTTGAAACGTTAAAGAAAAAAATATCGCCATAAGCTTTTAACTACTCTCATTGAGGTGATAGATGATGGAAGTGGTATGCTAGATAAGCTAAGGACAGTGAACATAAAAGATGTTATTTACTGGATAGCACAATCATGGGAAGAGACTGAACAGCAAACTCTGGCAAGATTATGGAGAAAGTTACTTTCGGAAGATGAAAATATACAAGAAATGGTGCAAGAAAATTGTGATGGCCTGCTACCTTTGTTACAACAAATTCCAGCTGTGAGAAAGTGAATGATGATGATATACAGGAATGGATGGAGAAGGATGAGCAACAAGAACTGACTGACCACGACATAATAGCTCTGGTGAATCGGGATAACAATGAAGATGAAGAAGATACAAATGACAATGACAAAACGGAGAGAATGAGTCATAGTGAAGGGGTCAAGGCTCTCGAGGCGGCACTGGCTTATGTTGAACAACAAGGGGAGGCAACTGCTAGTGATGTTATGTTATTGAGACGCTGGCGCGACCTCGCCGCAAGGAAAAGAAAAAAAGCTGGGAAACAAACTTCAATCACTAATTTTTTAAAACAATAACTTTTGCGTTTTGCCACGCTGCATACTAAATGTTCTGTACTCCATTATGTTAGTTGTACTGTAGAATAATTATTAATAAACCTGATTTTATACGTGTTTCCGTATTATCCGACATTTTCGTTAATCCAACCACCCATCAGTCCCATTTAGGTCGGATAATCAGGACTCTACTGTATCCTTTTTTTTTTTTTTAAACCATTCTTCATAGGTCATGTTTTCTAAGCCTTTGATCGTTTTTGTTGCTGTCCCTTATTTGAACACATCTTTCTTAAAATGTGATATCTACAATTGTATAGCTCTACAAATTCATAGATATCCACTTTATATCTGCGAGTATCTGTATGTGAGGATGTGGATGCAGATATCCACAGCTCATTTTTGCAGATATGGATGCAGATATAAGTTTTGTCTCAAACACTGCAAATATATGCTTTATAACCATGGGTATCCGCAGATATGGATATGGATATCCACGAATCATTTATACAGATGCAGATACCAATTTTGTATCCACACGGATATCTACGGAACTGGACACAATATTCCCACTGAGGCCTTACCATTGTTAAGCAGAGTGGGACAGTTATCCTCTAACTTTTTAGATGACACTCCTGTTAATAATATACCCAGGAATGATAGCCTTTTTTAAAAAGAAATAAATATGATGAATATGATATACTGTAATCTCCAGATGCTTTTCAGCAGTATTATTACTTAATTATTCCCTGCTACTGTTAGGTATGCATTTGATTTTTCTTTCCTAAGTAAAATACTTTACACAATAATGTCTTTTATTGACTTTCATCTCAACTTCAAACCAACTTTCCAGTTTGCCATGATCTGTTGAATTCTCTAATCCAATTCTCCAAAGTACTTGTAATTCTTCCCAGCTTGGTGTTACCCGCATATTTTATAGGCATTCTTTCCACTTACTTATCCAAATCACTAATTAAAATATTGAATAGTACCAGCGAAAAGGACTGATTTCCTTCAGGACTCCACAAGATAGGCCCTCCCAACTTGACAGCAAATTGTTGATAACTACTCTGAGTATGTCATCATTCATGTACTACTGAAATGTCAAGGCCTGCCTCCAACTGCCTCAGATACCAGCCTTCACTGCCTACTTGTTATGTATATACCTTCATACTTTCTCTCACATTGTCCACTATGCTTGCGAGGAGCTCCCTATAAGTATCAACAAAACAACTTCATTATCCCCCTTCAAAACCCCGTTTTTCCATAATGCTTACAAAAACAACCCCTAACACTTGACAATAGTTAGTCTACTAGTATGCAGACACCACTGCCTATGATGCTGACCAATATGGGCTCAGTATATCTATATCCATCTGTGACTTATCCTATTTCTTAGATGTAAACTCTCTTGGATGGGACTTTTAGCTTCCCGGAGGGCCATGGTGGGCTGGAGAGAAATGTTTGGCAAGCTGGATCCATCCTGTGGGCCATATTATGGCCTAAACAAATCATGTAAAATTTATCTTTGGTTCATATGCAGAAAAATCAGAGTTGACTCAGGGATAAAATTGACCTATTTCATCTCTATCATTAATAGAAAGGAAAGTAATTATTTTTAAATATAATTGATGGCACAGTAAACAACTAACACTTTTAAAACTAACGTCATCAAGGACAAATCAAACATGAACTACAAAATTAACGTGGACTTACCCTGCTTGTGGGCTTGTCACACTCACTGAATTTTTATGAGCTGGAGATAAGGTCTGAATTTTGCTTCCAGAAGGCCCACCTGTAGATAACACTTTACTCGTAGGCGTACCTTATGATATAAAGAAGCTAATAATAGATTTTGCTACTGGATGAAAAAATAGTATTCTTGTATGATAACATGTAGAGCCCACTTTTAAATCAGAACACAAAATTCTTAAAAACTCATTTCTGAATATATAATGGCACTAGTAAGAGTACTAATCATTACCTAGAAGCCCAGTGAGACAAAAAGGTCTATTCTACTAAAAATACGGGCATGAATTGGTGCATTCTGCATTTTAAAGAAAATTCAATAATGAATAGGGCCGTATAAATGCAATAATGAATTTCACAGACAGAAATGCTAGGTGCCTATTTGCAATTAGAATAGGGCCCAATGTTTATGGAATTTGCTTTACTATACATATATTTTAAATTGCTTACCAGTATATGCAGTGTACTAAGAGAATTTACCAACCAAAATCAAAATCTGACTTCAAAAGGCAGAAATTAAAAGCAGTGTTGCACTTGATCAGTCCACAGAAGACCCAGTTAAACACAGTACTTAACCAAATGGGTAATTAAGCATGAAAGCAGTCTCAGTGACCTGAATAGGAATACGCATGAATAAAGTCATAAATGTGCTAAAAAGTATCTCGATGAACAGACTGAAACAGTGTCCCTGTTTTAGGACACTTACTAAGTCTTTAATTGAATTTTTATTGAATAACTAAATCTACAAATCAAAAATCACAATAGATGCCAATTTAAAATGTAGCAAAAGGCCTGTGATTACAAAAAAAAAATCTAGTAAAAAGCAACAGGAAGTAGTATGCAAGTAAAAGCCAACTGCAATATAACTCACCCATGTGCTACTGTTTGAGTTCTACAAGTTCTCCATAAGAAACTTTTATGTCTTGTCTTTATCTGTGCGCACTACTTGTAGAACTCTACTGCTACTAAAATTATACAATCATTATTTCCATCTGAAATCAATTATTTAGAAAGTAAATATACAGTTCAAAATACCAGTTCATACCTACAACAGTTTTGCTGACATTACTTGGCTGTGGTAAGCGTGAAGAGGACGGTGTTGATCCTGTAGAAGGTGCCTTTCTAACAGTAGCAGGCTTGTACTGTAACAATGGACATAAAACTATAATATAATTAATTATTTAGCTGTTTAATCCAGTAATAAAATATAAAGTAAAAGACTGTTAGCCTCAGGAGGGTAGTCATGTTAGTCTGTAACTGAAAAAACCTTCAACAACAAATAGTTCTGCAGCACCTAAAGTTATGTCTACACAGCGACATTATTTCGAAATAACTTAGTCCGTGTCTACACAGCAGGCAGTTATTTTGAAATAATGCTGAAATACTGTCAAGCTGGAGGACTTCTTATTTTGACTCCTGTAACCCTTACTGTATGAGGATTAAGGAAAGTCAGAGGAAGAGTGCTCTATTTCAAAGTAAATGCTGTGCAGATGCTCCCAACTTCGAAATAAGCTACTAATTGGCGTAGTTCAATTTGTGTAGCTTATTTCAAATTAAGCCCTGAAGTGTAGGTGCACCCTTAGGCTATGTCTAGACTGCAGGCTTCTTTCGAAAGAGCCTCTTTCGAAAGCATCTTTCGAAAGAGCCTCTTTCGAAAGATCGCGTCTAGACTGCAGACGGATCTTTCGAAAGAGAAATCCGCTTTTTCGAAAGAGAGCACCCAGCAAGTCTGGATGCTCTCTTTCGAAGACGGCCTCTTTACATTGAAGAACGCCTTCTTTCGAAAGAGGAACTTTCGAAAGAAGGCGTTCTTCCTCGTAAATTGAGGTTTACCGCCATCAAAAGAAAAGCCGCGTTCTTTCGAAATAATTTCAAAAGAACGCGGCTTGAGTCTGGACGCAGGGGAAGTTTTTTCGGGAAAAGGCTACTTTTCCCGAAAAAACCCCTGAGTCTGGACACGGCCCTAGAGACTAACAAAAATGTAGATGGTATCATGAGCTTTCGTGGTCACAACCCAGTTCTTCAGATGAATGAAGTATGGGGTCCAGTGTAGGGATGTTAAAGTTAGTTTAATCAACTAATCGATGAATTTTCCATCGACTAGATGATTAGTCGATAATAAAGGGGGAAGCTGCAGCAGGGTTAGCTCCCATCCAGGAGCTAACCCTACTGCAGCTCTGCCTTTTAAATGCATTAAAAGCTGACAGGCTCTTAATACATTTAAAAGGCTAATGTGCAGCAGGGGAAGGGCCCAGCGTGAGCCGGTAATCAGCTGTCCCAGCTCAAACAGGGTGTCCCGCCCCATGCTTCTGCTTTTTAAATGTAGAAATTACTGGCTGGGATTGGGCACAAGCCAAGAATCAGCCCGCTACCCCCTGTGGAGACAGTGCTGAGGGGGAAACTCTCTTTTAAGCTGGCTGCCCCCAGCACTGGCTTCTGCTCCCCCCTCTTGCTGCAAGGGGCAGGGAAGCGACTAGTCGAGGGACTAGTTGACTAGCCAATAAGCTTTTGCTTACTGGATAGTCAATTAGTCGCTTACATCCATAGTCCAGGGTACAAACAAATAGAGAAAGAAAGGGGATGGAGAGAGAAAGAGAAGGGGGGAAAAAAAAAAAAAAGGAAAAAATATCGTCAGTCAATTAGAGTGTCTGTGTTAAATGAGGCTAACAGAGTGGGGTATAAGTACCCAGTGCTTAACTTTTTATGTCATTACAGTGTGAAATGTACCAGCCCATCCAGGTCAGGTCTTTCTTCAAACCTTGATTACAGGTGTCAAACACTTTAACCACCCTAGACAGTCAGTAATGGATCTGAGAGTAGCCATCCTTCCACAAAAGAATTTCAAAACCCACTTACAAAACTGGAGTTCATCTGCAAATTCAATACAATCAACTTAGGACTGAATAAAGATCTTCAATGGTTAACACACAACAAAGCCAATTTCCCGTCTTTTGATATTCACATCTCCATAGCAAATGCCGTGAGTGAGCCACTTCCACCCTGACTTGATTAGCTTCATTAACATTATATATATATGTATGTGTGTATATATCACACACACACAGGGTTCGCCACGGCTTGGCGAGCCCTGCTCGTCAGCCGCGCTGTCCGGCATTCTGCGCATGTGCACATCACCCGAACCCGGCTCTTCCGGGATGTAATCTACTCACCGCAGGCGAGTAGATTACATAGATTGTCGAGCCCTGTATATGTATGTGTATATTATATACACACACACACACACACACACAAAACTTCCGATAATCCGGCACCTTTAGGTCCCAGGGGGTGCCGGATTATCAAGTATGCCGGACTTTCGGAAGGGGGGGCTTTGAGGTGTCTGGGGTAGGGTGAGGGGAAATGGGAGGGCAGCGCTGCAGGACCAACCCGGCAGCATCCCAACTGCTCTGCCCCGGGCTTCTTCAAGTCAGCTGCTCGTCAGTTTCAGCAGCGGCTGACTTGGGGACGCCCGGGGCAGAGCAGCTGGGGTGCTGCTGGGTTGGTCCAGTAGTGCCGCCGCTCCTCGGCACTACTGGACCAACCCAGCAGCACCCAAGCTGCTCTGCCCCAGGTGTCCTGATTCAGCCGCTGCC